ATGGTCTTGATCTCCTGACCTCGTGATCCGCCCGTCTCGGCCTCCCAAAGTGCTGGGATTACAGGCTTGAGTCACCGCGCCCGGCCTACAATGCCTTTTTTCCAGAGGTCAGGGATATTACTAGATGTCCCCACAGGGCTATTTTCGGCCTTCACACACTTAGTGTTGTCCCACTCTACAACATAGATACTTTGGTACTGGGAGTCTTACACACCAAAACAAACCAAAACACCAACTTCCAAAATTTGGACCTATGGCGTTAAAACGTCTTTAAAACTAATTTTCAAAGATTAACTTCGTAGAAATTTCAGGTCGGCACAGCACAGATTATAGGCAGGGCTCCATTTCCATAAACTATGCAATGTAGTCTTCATGAGGCGCTGACCTGAGACTGACGTTATGCAAGGCCACTGGCATTAACTTTGTCCTTCATTACAGTGGCCATGCACAGGTTGTGGAGCTTCAAGTAGAGCTTCAAGAAAATTCTCTTTATTTCCCGTCCTCGCACCTCAATTCAGACACCAATCAGGTGGAAGTTTTAAACGTTCTTATATTGACACAGATGATCTTCCAGATCCATCTCTCATCCCCTCTTTTTTTTTGTCCTATTTTGTTAAGCCTCTTTCCTCACTCGCTGGTCTCAGGCTGCCATAGCCAGAGAAAAATGTTTACTAAATCCGGTTTTCAAAGTAGCCTCCGGCTGGGCACAGTAGCTCATATCTGTAATCCCAGCACTTTGAGAGGCTGTGGCAGGCAGATGGCTTGAGTCCAGGAGTTTGAGCCTGGGCAACATGGTGAAACCTGTCTCTACAAAAAATACAAAAATTAGCAGGGCGTGGTGGTGCGCATCTGTAGTTGCAGCTACCCCAGAGGCTGAGGTTGGGGGATCACCTGAGCCCAGGAGGTCAAGGCTGCAAGTGTACCGTGATCGTGCCACTGCACTCAAGCCTGTCTCAAAAACAAGGAAACACTCAAAAAACCCAAGTAGCCTCCTGCACACGAGGAGCTAAGGCTAAAATGGCATTACAGCAGCCTTTCTCCCATTCCCACTTTCACAAGAAATCAGGTTGATGGATAAAATGCTCTCAAACTTGAAACTTTTCTCTCATGATTCTTCGGCTACTTGCCTGTGAAAAAGTAATTAAAGAGCAGTAACAAATTGGAAGGAGTCAATCATGCCCAGATTGACAGTTGTTCTGTTGGCTACACATGCAGTATGGTTTTACATTGCTCATCACAGTTCTATCTTCTGTCTGGACACATATTCCGCATTTGTAGAGCAGAATTACAAAGCTACTAAAAGTTGTGCCACAGAACAGATCCTGATTTCCTGTGTTCTACCACCTGAGAACAACAGGGACACAGGAACTAACATGTGAGTGATAATGTCCAAATTCTTCCAGGAATATTTATTTGAGAAGGAGTCTTGCTCTGATGCCCATGCTGGAGTGCAGTGGTGCGATCTTGACTCACCACAAACTGCACCTCCCTGGGTCAAGCAATTGGCCCGCCTCAGCCTCCTGAGTAGCTGGGATTATAGGTGTGCACCACCATGCCCAACTAATTTTTGCATTTTTAGTAGAGACAGGGTTTCACCATGTTGGCCAGGCTGGTCTCGAACTCTTGACCTCAAGTGATCCACCTGCCTTGGCCTCCCAGAGTGCTGGGATTACAGGCGTGAGCCACCGTGCCCGGCCAATATATATTTTTTAATTAAAAAATAATTTTCTTCTTCAGGATACAGCAATATTTATTTTTGAAGTGACTCAAGGGAGAAGACAATGTTTAGTCCAAGGAATGAAACAAGAAGCCAAATTATCAGGTATTTATTTTTGTTCACAGGAGACTTGAATCGCATCAAAGTGAGTCCTAGCTAGATTGTTAATTACAAATGAGCCGAGGGAGATTAAAAACAGACAAACCAGGCCGGGCGTGGTGGCTCACGCCTGTAATCCCAACACTTTGGGAGGCTGAGGTGGGCGGATCACGAGATCAGGAGATCGAGACCATCCTGGCTAACACGGTGAAACCCTGTCTCTACTAAAAATGCAAAAAATTAGCCGGGTGTGGCAGCGGGCGCCTGTAGTCCCAGCTACTTGGGAGGCTGAGGCAGGAGAATGGCATGAACCCAGGAGATGGAGCTTGCAGTGAGCCGAGGTCGCGCCACTGCACTCCAGCCTGGGTGACTGAGTGAGACTCTGTCTCAAAAAACAAAACAAAACAAAACAAAAAAAACCAGACAAACCAATCAACCAACCAAACAAGCAGAAGTAGCCAAGAAAGGTAAGACATTTTATTTTACATACAAAAAGGGTGCAAACTGAGTCCTTTCCTCCCCAAACTGGGGAAGAGGTATACTTAAATATCACATTTGTGTTTTCCATGGTGCCCTAGGAAATGGGCTACTCTGAGATAACATATCAGAACCCATTTTCCATTTTCTCCAAAGGCTACTTCCTCTGCAGAGAAGATTTTCCTAATGGTGCACAAGTATCTCTCCTGCAGGAACCATTTCAAATACACTTGAAATTGACATTCATGTTTAAAAATACTACAAATTTCATTTTCACAGCTGAGCTTTGTGACCAGTGCCAGGGTTTATGAAACATTATACATCTAAAAAAAAAAAAGTAAAAAAAGAGGCATTTAACAATAATCAGACACATCCACACATTAAAACTGATTTCCACAGCTGATTTATACATTATCAAGTTGTTTAAAAATCGCAATCAACATCCCAACATCTTTTTAAGAGTACAATGGGCAAAGATCAAAGACAGACAAATAATAATATAATAAATTAGAGCATGTAATACATCCGATGGGAATTGCTGAATCAACATTATTTTCCATTGGGGGTATATATTTTTGGTTTATCTTTATCTTTTCTGCTGTTATTTTTCTCTGCTTGATAAATAGGGCTCATTCCTAAAGCCAGCTTGCTGAGACACTAATTTCAGAAGCTCACTTGTCACTTGTTTACCTCTGAGAATACTCAGGAACACATGGTTCCGAGCAGCTTGGGCTGGATCTTTATGGAAGTGAAATGCACATAGATGAACGCACGCACTCAACGTGCGCACACACACCACACACACACAGACACGCAGTCACACACTTCCATCTGTAAATATATTTCTCCCCAAAGAAATGGCTCATCTTTCCTGAGACATTCCTAATAGACTGATAAGCCTTCTAAAAAAGGCTTTTGGTGCAAGGGCCGGCCTGGGATTTGGTCTGGAGCTCATGAACTGAAAATGTTTCACCTGTACTGAAAGGAGGGTGGGTGGGGACATTCAGAACAGCTGCCCTCTTGTGGGTGTTACTGGAATGGCTGCACCGCACCCCCACTTATTACCGTGAATAATGCTCTGCTGTGAGACCTTAGAGGTGGTGATGGCACCGGGAAAGCGATTGTGAGGAGTAAAAGAAGAAAAATAAAAGAAATTCTGTCTACAGAACTGAGGTTTCTTTGTAACATCAAGTTTGGTAATCAAACTAGAAATACATGGAATACATGTTCACTTCTTCCTTTGAAAGGTGATTTACAAATACTGGAAGTGGGTTTTCTGGTTGTGTTTTGAGAACATGTCAACTACCATTGTGTATTATCCAGGGAACCTACTCACTATTTCGAATACAATGAGAAACCTATTTTTTTTTTTTGTACTTAGTCACCTGCAAAAGCAGTTAGGAAAAACATTTTTAAGACTGCTTGCTGGATAAAAGACTTTCAAGATTCCTTACTTGTGGCTAAAACACTGCTCAAAACTTTATACGTTAAGGGCCATGGTTGCCTCTTCTTTTTCTTATTCAGAAACAAAATCACCCCCCATACACCAAAAAACAAATTGAAAAAAACAAAAAACACCAAAACCCCAAGCCAAAGGAATCCCTATTTGATTCCTGTCAACCCCTCGGGAAAGACTAGGAGTCTCTGCCATCGACCTCTAGATAGGACTTCCCTGCAGTCTGCAAAAGCAAGAACCCGAGAGATAAGTGCCTGTCACTCACGTGGTCAATTCAGATGGGGTGCCTAATTGCCCTGGCTCCCTGAGGGTTTCTAGAATTCATCTGCCCACGATAGGGCAATACTGGGGATGGTGGCGGTGGCGTGGCAAAGGCAATGTTGGCTGTATGGTGTTGCAGGCTCCCAATCTGAGAAACGAACCCTAATACGGTTCTGACACTGGAAACGATGTTGTTAGGGCAACTCAATGGGAATGGAGAGCTGGTTTAAATGTGAAAATGGAAGAGGTGGCTGGGACACAGGAGGCATGTGGGCTTGGGAGATGCATCAAACAAAAGTTCCTCTGAGAAGACGTTTTCTTGGCTGCCATGGAAGTTCTCATTTTTGAGAAATGCAAGCCATGCTTGCTCACTGGGAGGAGGAATGGATTTTATCTTTTACATAAAAAAGTTAAGGCTATAATCTTTTTTTTTTTTTTTTTTTGAGACGGAGTCTTGCTCTGTCACCCAGGCTAGAGTGCAGTGGCGAGATCTCAGCTCACTGCAAGCTCCGCCTCCCGGGTTCACGCCATTCTCCTGCCTCAGCCTCCTGAGTAGCTGGGACTACAGGCGCCTGCCACCACGCCCAGCTATTTTTTTTTTTTTTTTGTATTTTTAGTAGAGACAGGGTTTTGGGGTTTCAATGTGTTAGCCAAGATGATCTCGATCTCCTGACCTCGTGATCCGTCCGCCTCAGCCTCCCAAAGTGCTGGGATTACAGACGTGAGCCACCGCGCCCGGCCAAGGCTAAAATCTTTAGTAACCACTTTGACATTACATTATCATTGTTACGTATTTCTGGCACTGAAAGTGGTTACTAGCACTGAAAATCAACACTGAATATGCACTACCAGCATATCTTTCCACTGCACTAAGTTTGGAAATTACTTTAGGGGTGATGGTCACCTTTACTGGCTAATAGGCAGGGATTGTTTTCTAAGTACTTGGAGTTCATTTAGAAAAAAGAAACAATCAACACTTCTAGAAACCTCAGGATTTCTGCTGTCATCTGTAGCTCATGCATTCCAATGTAAAATGGGATTTTAACTGGAAGCTAACCTTGTACCTTCCTAGACCCTGTTTATTGCCAGACAGGCCCCATAATAGCAGAAGAATGTTAAGGCAGTCATGAGTGCTAACTGGCTGTCAGGATGCTCTCTCCACCCTTGGGGGCAGTCTGGAGTGAGATCTGGGGAAAGCGCCAAGGTGCATAGAGCAACTTGACCAACTCTTACTGCAAAGACACAAGTGATACCCTGGTCAAAAGGGAGTAGGGGAGACCATTTATGCCTTGGTGGAGTCTTGGCCTGTGTGCCTCAATCTGTTTAGGATGCAATGTCTGAGGGACTGTAGAGCTTGGGAAAACTCCTAATGTATAATATTAAGGGTTTTTATGAACAGATGCTGAGTTAGTTTTCAGGAAAAACAATTGCATCAATCCCAAATAAAAAGATCCTGAGGCACCATAGTTGTGAAATGGAGAAAGCTCAGAAACTACAGAGCAAGTGGATGGGTGGGGACAGTCAGCGAGTGCATGCCCTAACCCCAAGGATCTCACTGAAGCATACAGCTAAGCAACTGTAGCAATAGGGCCGAGGAGGGAGCCCTGATGTGTTGAGGGCTGAAGCGATGGCCAATTGCATCTAGGGTACTCAGGTTTTTTGCTTAATTGTAAGGAAGATCACATCAGAATCTCCCAGGTCTGGGACCACTTTGAAGTGCCAATGGCCCTAGAGGGATCACCATTACCCTGCATGCTAAAGGGACCTGGGATTCTTTACCTTTGCTATGAAAACCAAGTATCTAGTAAGAGATTTGTGGAGGTTGGAAGGTGAGAACAGTATATTAGGAAAGACACTCCCCTACAACTGATCCAGTAAAAATTTTAAGACCAAAAAAAAAAAAAAGTCGCAAATCCAGCTGCAAGGAAGCTTGCCTTAAGCCAAGCTGGTCACTGCCTTTGCTTTTGTGTGTGTGGAAGCAGGGTGAGGGGCTGAAGGGAGGCACTCAGTAGGGTATAGAGTGCCAGGATGCTCCAGGCATTGCCAACATTTCCCTCTGCCCTTTTCTTTTTTCTTTTTTTTTTTTTAAGACAGAGTCTCACTCCTGTCTCTTATACACATCTACTCTGCCTCCCAGGCTCAAGTGATTCTCCTCCCTCAGCCTCCCGAGAAGCTAGAATTACAGGCACTGGTGCATGCCACCACGCCCGACTAATTTTTGTATTTTTTGTAGAGATGGGGTTTCACCACGTTGGCCAGGCTGGTCTCGAACTCCTGACCTCATGTGATCCACTCACCTCGGCCTCCCAAAGCGCTGGGATTACAGGCATGAGCCACTGCGCCTGGCCCCCTTCTGCCCTCTCTTGAGAGGCAAGGCATTTTCTATACAGGGGTGAGGAAAAGTTAAACTTTCTATACAGTAAGTTAGCATTGCCGAAATCCCAACTGAGAAATGATGTAAATCTTAGTGACATGGCTGTAACCACTAGGTAATGGCAAGGACATAAATCCCAATATTCACAGTCCTTGTGGGGAAGGGGTGTGATACTGCATCTCCCTGCCACTCTATGTTACATATATAGAAACATTTATAGAAATGACATATTACCATCTTTCCATAAGCTAAGCAGGTTTGATGCAAGTGAAATGATATTCCCTAGCCAAGATCCAACGGAACAGATGAAGCCCAGTACCTCTGATACTGTTAATGCTATTTCTGCTCTGTGCAAGGTACATCAAGGGAATTTTTCAAGAAATGGCAACTACCAGAAAATATCCCCACACCCTCCAGTCCAAAAGATAGCCCTACACCTCAAGCTAGAGGCGAAGACTTCTATGCTCCACAAACCATCAGACTAAGTCACCCACCAGCCACTGTGCTCCATGGTTGGCTCTCTACTCCCAGATACAAGACCTCTTTCCTGATGTAAATGACCCTTTCTCTTCTGTCACCTCTGGAATGGGCAGTCATTGTTTGGTTAAGCTACTAAACTCAAATGAAAATTGGGTATGAGAAGAGTAACTTCCCACATGAAAGACTTGTCAAACAGTGAATGAGGAAACAAGATCCTTCACAGTAGTACCTCCTATGAAAACACCACGGGGGGAGGCCGAGGGCATACTGGGGAAAACATGCTTAGAGGCATGGCCACCTTTCTGGAAGGAGTCTATGTCCAGTTGAGAAGATAATTTCAGACCTTTCACTCCAGTTTCCTTTTCCCTGGAATATTCCAGCACCAATCAATCTTTCCCTCCTTTTAAATGCAGCCCCATATACTGCATCCTAAGCTTACTGCTATGGACCTGCTGGGAGAAGATCTTCATAAGCTTGGTTTCTGATAAGGCAGGCCAGCCCAAATGCTACAGCTCAGCTATTGGGGGAGATAGGATACACTGATTTTCTTTTCCTGGCCCTATAATGCCACAACCCGAGGTCCCTCTGGCAGGTGGAAGGTAGGTTCACTGTCCTCCTCTTTTTTTCCACTAATGGCAATATGGTGGTGGCTGTTTCATCACTAATTTGTCCCCCAAGTCACCAGGAAATCACATGGCTATCTAGTTGGAAGTCCCTGGCAGCAGAAGAAACAATTTCATTATTATTATTATTTTTTTTTTGTTAAGCATCTCCTTCTCTGGGATGAGCTGTTTCCTGGTCACAGTCTGGTTCGGCTGGCTCATCTCATGTGCTGGAGAGCTAGGTTTTCAAACTGTAAGCTGATTAGGTCAAGATGCTCTGGTAGGGACATTCTTCAGCTGCTGAGAAGATGAATGAAAATTCAAGTATGTTTTCTTGCCAACCTGAGTGTTCACTCAGAATGACACCGAGTTTGGCTTCTCTTCTGGGTGGTGCAGATCAAACTCTTTCCACTGAGAATGTCCTCTGGACCCATGTTCTCTCTGAATGGCTTGGCTGGCCCCATCCCCCTCAAAACAGGTAAAAGTGAAACCCCCAATATAACCAGACACAATATGCATCTGCCATGTTTTTGTTTTTGTTTTTTTAAAAAAAAACTAAAAGTGCAACAAAGTCAGTTTTCTTTCCTTTGCTCAGAACAATTTTCATTGTCCTACTACCGCCTGGAAAAAAGAGTTTGTCAAAAAAGCTAAGAACGCCAACACACAGGGACAGTAGACTGCAGATTGCTCACAGCTTGTGTCCTACAGTGTAACTTCACAGGAGGGAGGGAAGAAGGAACCTGAACCCCATGGCCAGCTGGGATGAATGCTGCACAGGCACAGAGGAAGAGGAAACCATACTGCCAGGCACACCTGGGACACGGAGAAGGTTCTTCTCCAGCCCAGGTCTCCATTTTCCTCCTACCTTCTTGGCCTTACCCCCAGCCTCTTGATCTCCTTCTGCAAATAAAGTCTTTAGCTCACTAGGTTTTATGCTGGAGAGGGTTGAGGGTGGGGTAAAAACCAGGAGTAAACTAAGGGGAGGAAGGAGAATAGTAGTCCTTGAGTTTTTGTGAATGACACCTTCACTGTAAACAATGGGAAGGAGAGTCAACCAGGCAGCCCTATGGGCAAGCAGTGGAGGAACAGCAGCTCTGGGACCTGCTCAGAGCCTTAGGCAGGCGGGGATGGCCAATGACCCACTAGGCCCTGGCTGCCCACACTGGCTCCTTCTGGGGGCATCTGTTTTCTTCTTTTTGGTTTGGATATCCACCCTCCCCCAAAGAGGAGTCCCTTCCAATGAGAAATGGCAGGAGCTGCAGGTACAATTGAGTCAGGGTCCCCAGGGCCTGAGGACTCCTGGGAGGCACTGGTCACTTGTGGCGCTGAGCAGTCTTCTTCCTTTTCCTCTTAAAGAAACAGCAGCACCTGGAGCACAAGGAACATTGCAAGTCAGTGCGGGAGGCCTGCAGCTTCCAGCAGACTTCTGCCTGCTTCTGCTTACTGAAGGGGGTGGAATTTTCCCCCTGGCACCCACCCATAGGGACCGCCCACCATCTACAGTGCACGCACTGGAGGCAGTGGGCAGTGTCTGCCAGAAAAGCCAAAGGAAATAGCTGCTTGATTTCAATCTGCAGTCATCCTACCTAATTATAAGATGGTGCAGGCTAGGCAGGGCTGAAATAGGCATTACTGGAAGGAGGATGAAGAAGGTTCATACTTTAGCACCCAACCCAGATGCCTCACCTTATCAAGAGCCAAGACTGGGGATCCTCAGGGCTGCATAAAAATAGTCTACATTGTCTACTCCTTGATACTGAGGGCACAATTATTTAATGCAACTCACTGGCCAGAGGGCAGGGAGGCTAAATTAAGGCAAACAAATCCCGTGATAAGTATGATGTCTGGAACTCTAGGAGGATCTCAGGATGTTACCAATGAAGGATTAAGGATTCTCTCTATCCCCCTCTCTGCCCTCACCCAAGTACCTGAAGTAGGCAGGAGAGGCCCTGACTCTAATAATGACTGTGAGCCACATCTCCTGACTGACGTCAGTACAGCTCCCCCTTTTCATCTGGAGGGGACCACTGTCACAGCCCAGGAGCTGACCATCGGGATGCTCTCACTCCCCAATTTAGGGAGTGAGATACAGGGCACTCCCCAGTTTAGCTTCCTGAGATTGCTGCTGTGCCAGATGGGGTTTATGAACTGGCCCTGTTTGAGATGGAGATGGGGCTGGCTCCTTTATGAGTCCTCCAAGTTCTGCTCCCTGGGGACTAGCCACAGTTCTGGCACATCCCTAAGTCTGAGTATCCCCCCTCCTCACTCCTGTCTTTAGAACAGGAAGTATCACTCTTGCTCAGGCAGTCCAGAAGCAGGTAATGAGTACTGTGGCAAGGTGCACAAGATATGTCCTTTCCAGGGAGCTGACACATGGGGAATGAGAATGAAAGGGACAGAAGGTGGTGGATGAGTCAAAGATGCAGGATGATGGAGGGCAGTAAAGTTGGAAGCATAGCTCAGACTTGCTAGACCCTTGAAAGAAAAGCTTTTCTGAGAAAACTATCTTTGAGTCTCTTGCCTAATCATCGCAGGTGTAATTCCAGCATTTTTCATATGGAAATAAAGGCTGTTACTTACTTCCCATACCCCTAGGCATTTCACTGTAGCCAAGATCCCCTCTTTTTAGTTAGACTCCTTGGTATTCCTACATCCAATGTTATCAAAAACTGGAGAAAGTTTCTAAGAATGCAGAAACAAACATTTACACAGACCATGATGGGCTGTTATCATATCTGAATGAATCAAACATGAACATTTTAGAAATAGGAGATTATTTATTTTTATTTTTATTTTTTTGAGACAGAGTCTTGCACTGTTGCCCAGGCTAGAGTGCAGTGGCACGATCTCAGCTCACTGCAAGCTCCACCTCCTGGGTTCACACCATTCTTCTGTCTCAGCCTCCCGAGTAGCTGGGACTATAGGCGCCCGCCACCACGCCCAGCTAATTTTTTGTACTTTTAGTAGAGACGGGGTTTCACCGTGTTAGCCAGGATGGTCTTGATCTCCTGACCTC